CTCTGCTGAAAAGACCCCACCCCACCCCTGCCTGGTTGAGCTTTTTTTGTTTTGTTTTGTTTTTTGAGATAGGGTTTCTCTGTATTGCTTTGGAGCCTGTCCTGATACTTGCTCTGAAGACCAGGCTGACCTCAAACTCACAGAGATCCGCCTTCCTCTGTCTCCAAAGTGCTGAGATTAAAGACATGTGCCACCAATGCCAGGCTAAGGTTTTTCTTTCTTAAAATCAAATCAGAAGCAAAACCATGAGGTCAGTTGGTTCACTGGTTGACAAATAGAGTGTGTGACTCATGTGGGAGGTGAATTTTCCGTCTGCAGGAGGGATGGGGGGTGCAGCTGCTCACAGCGGGTTCTGATAGGAGGCTTGCTAGTGAGGAATGGAGGAGCCACTGAGACCCAGGCATAAAGACCCACACCATCCACTGGACACCTCCCTGTCAGTATCAATGGAAACTAGTGGACCAGAGACCTGGCGACCCTCTCAACACACGTAAAAGGACACAGAGTCCGACTGGCCACTCCATCCCAGAACGTGATCCAATTCAGGCTGGATGTCTCAGAAGCAGTTTGGCCCTTGGCTTTGCTGAGATTGCCCAGCCTTCCCCTTTTCTGAGCAGTTCACTGGGCACCTCCCCCACCATCCTGAACTAGGGCGACCAGAGGGGACTTCGGAGAGGGATTATGTAGCTTGGCAGGTGGGGGGTGGAAATGGGGAGGGCACTATTTCCCAACAAAGACACTACTCAGACAACAGACTTCCTTGGGAAAACTGTAATCACCAGACTCAGAGGAGACCAATTGCTGGCAGGGTTTATTGGCTTCCCTTCACAATAGTGTTTGTTTTTGTAGGTAATTAGAGTTTAGTAGCAAGCTATAGAGAATCTTTCCAGAAACTGTGCACAGTCTATAGCTAAAGGGTACTGAAGTATGCCCGCGTCTAGCCATTCACCTCTGCAGACCTCCTGTGCTAAGCGGCCAGTATTTGACCCGGCAGCTCACCCAGAAGAAAAGGCCTCTGTGCTTTCATACTCAAGGAGGAAATGCCTTCATGTGGCATGGCATATGTGTGCCCCAGTGTGTGTGCAAATGTCACCGGGATACAGTCTATGGTGCTGGAGGTAGGACACTGCAATTCAGATGCCAGTAGCTCAACTCATCTTTTTTCTTTATCTTCTTTTATTTATGTGTATGTATATGTGCCTGGGTGGGCTTCTGTACATTGCATTCAGATGGCTGTCTATGGAGGTCAGAGGACATCAGATCCCCTATGACCGTAGTGAGCAGCCAGATGTGCTGCTGGGAATTGAGTCTGGGTCCTCTGCAAAGAGCAGTACAAGCTCTTAACCACTGTTCAGTAGTTTATTGGCTTTGATTCACAATAGTGTTTGTTTTTGTCAGTAATTAGAGTATAGTAGCACACTGTAGAGAATTCTCAAGGAAATGACACGCAGTTTTTTTGGAAAAGGGTATGTACTCTCCAGTCTCTCAAATCATCTTTAAAAATAATCTGTCTTGTCTCTGTCTCTGTGTGTGTGTGGGGGGGGTTGGGAACTGCAGACACAAGACTACAGACTGAAGATCAGAGCTCAGGCCCACCCCTTGAGTGGCAAGCCCTGCCCCCACTGAGCCATTTCCCTAGCTCCTTCAGATAATCCTTTTTTAAATCAAGTTTTAAAATTTCAATTAAAAACAATATTATTTTACATACCAATCCCAGTTCTCTCTCCCTCCCATCCTACCATTCCCTCCTCCATCTCCCCATCCCCCCATCTACTCCTCAGAGAGGGTGAGGCCTCCCATGGGGGATCATCAAAGTATGTCACATCATTGGGGGCAGAACCTAGGCCCTCCCCGCCTTCCCCTCATCTAGGCTGAGAGAGTAACCCTCCATACTGGTTCCACTGCCAGAGGTTCCATAGACTGCCCAGGCCTCCCAGTTGACACCCACATTCAGGGGGCCTGGTTCAGATTTATGCAGGTTCCCCAGCTGTCAGTTTGGAGTCCATGAGCTCCCACTTGCTCAGGTCAGCTATTTCTGTGGGTTTCCCCAGCATGGTCTTGACCCCTTTGCTCATCACTCCTCCCTCTCTACAAATGGATTCCAGTTCAGCTCAGTGCTTAGCTGTGAACCTCTGCTTCTGCCTCCATCAGATACTAGGTGAAGGTTCTATGATGGTATTTAAGGTATTCATCAATCTCATTATAAGGAAAGGGCATTTAAAGTAGTCTCTTCACTATTGCTTAGATTCTTAGTTGGGGTCATACACACATCTGACAGACAGCTTATCTCCAGAGTACACAAACAACTCAAAAAGCTAGTTGCCAAAAAACAAATAATCCAGTTAAAAACGGGGTATAGAGAATTCTCAATAGAGAATTTCAAATGGCCAAAAGGCACTTAAAGTATTTGCTCAAAATCCTTAGCCATCAAATCAAATCAACTCTGAGATTCCATCTCACATCTGTCCGAATGGCTAAAATAAAAAACACCAATGACAGCTTATGCTGGAGAGGTTGTGGAGAAAGGGGAACACTCCTCCATTGCCAGTGGGAGTGCAAACTTGTGCAGCCACTTTGGAAATCAGTATGGTGATTTCTCAAAAACTTCAAGATCCAGCAATTCCACTCTTAGGCATATACTAAAAGGATGTACATTCATACCACAAGGACGTCTGTTCAACTACATTCAAAGCAGAATTATTTGTAATAGCCAGAACCTGGAAGCAGCCTAGATGTCCCTCTACCAAAGAATGGATAAAGAAAATATGATACATTTATACAATGGAGTACTACTCAATGATAAAAAAAACAATGGCATCTTGAAATTCGCAGGCAAATGGATGGAACTAGAAGAAACCATCCTGAGTGAGGTAACCCAGACACAGAAGGATAAATATGGTATGTACTCTCTCATAAGTGGATATTACACATAGAGCAAAGGATTATCAGCTTACAATCCACAACCCCAGAGAAGCTAGGAAACAAGGAGGACCCTAAGAGAGACATACATGGACACTCAGAGAAGGGGGAAGGGACAAGAGCTCTTGAGTAAATTGGGAGCATGGGGGTGGGGAGTTAGTAGAAAGAGAAGGGGAGAAGGGGATGGAGGAAGAGGACATGAGGGATCAGAAAGGTCAAATTGAGGGAAGAACAGAGAAGAAGAGCAAGGGAAGAGATAACTTGGGCTTAACGAGAAACCTGGCACTAGGGAACTTCCTCCGGGTATTCTTACTTGACTTGACCCATCTCTGAAGCTCTGTATCCTTTCAATTATTTACATTTTTTTCATTTTATACACCAACCCCATCCCTCAGAGGGGGTAAGGCCTTCCCTGGGAAGTCACAGGTCTGGCATACCAAGTTGGAGCAGGACCGAGCCCAAGAAAGGTATCTCACCATAGGGAATGGGCTCCAAAAAGCCAGTTCATGCACCAGGGATAGGTCCTGGTCTCACTGCCAGTGCTCCCCCCAGCAGATCAAGTCACAGAACTGTTTAACCACATTCAAAATGTCTAGTTTGGTCCCATGCAGTTTCCCAGCTATCAGTCCATGGGCCGTGAGCTCCCACTACCTCGGGTCATCTGTCTCTGTGGTTTTCCCATCATGCTCTTGACCCCCCCTTGTTCATATGACCCCTCCTCCCTCTCTTCAACTGAACTCCAGGAGCTCAGCCCAGTGAAGCTCTACATTCTTAAAACCCTTACACAGCTGACTCATTCCCAGGTCCCGAGATAGGCTTGCTGGTTGTTTAAGGGTCAGAAAATGCCCACCGAGGTCATGGTGATCTATACTCGCCCCTGCCCCTAGTGAGTCACTAGGGTTTTAACTTCTGAAAAGCAGTGATTATAAATACAATGAGAAAACAAATAGTGAGGGCCAAGTATTGTCACCAACAGTCAAGAAGTAACATGAGCTTGGAGGAAGGGTGTGCATGGGGCCACTGGCTGGCTTTGTTAGGCCCAGGCCAAAAAATACATGTTCCTTGTGCTAAGCACACGCCATCCACCCGCCATGTTCTCCCTCTCTGTGCTCACATCACAGTGTCCAAAAAGTCCAAACCTCCTACAAATGGGACCAGATAAACAGAATAAAAGAGAAAGAAAGGCCTGAGATACCACTATTGCTTCAGGAAAGTCAGTGTTTTTCCGTCCTTTGTATACACTGGCTTTACTCTTGTAACAACTGGACATAACAGTTAAGGCCCTGGGCCCCCTTCCTGTGGAGGTCATTAGTAAACCTTTACGACCATTTCCCAAGAACTAGATTTCCATTCATGTTCTATACAATCCAATATAAATTTTCCCACTGTTTTGCATGCTCAGGTTTCCTCAATTTAATTTTTTTAAAAGTTCTTACACAGCCATATCGCAGTGGTTCCCTTCAGAGAGACATAAAACAGACATCCTTTCTAGCAGAAAGGGTAAGCTTTCAGGCCACAGTTGTAGAATGGGCTGGCTATGTGCCCCTAAGACTTCCTGCAGGTGACTGCAACCCTTTTCACACCCAGTTTCCTCCTCTGAAAATGGAGGCGGCTGCCCCAGATTCTCCAGAAGGCCCCTTTGGGCTCTAGGGCTTTAGATTTATTTCATATTAAAAAATAAAAGACTTTCCTTCCACATGCGAAGGCAGCTGCTCTGATTCTTCCAAACACTGCTTTCTACATTCAGAAAGTGGGGCTTTGGAAGTGACTGGAAAGGAAACAGAAAGTGAATAGTCTAACGGCAAATCCAACCATCTTTGAATGGTGTCCTTGGAGTGAACTAAGAGAGCATGCTGATCTTGGGAGAGCAGCACAACTGACTAAGATGCTCATGAAGACCTCACTGCTGGCATTGAGGATAAATAAACTTCACGTTTAACATTTCCACACTCAGGAGTCCTTCCGTGAGGTGGGCCTTTGTGTTACAGAAACAGCAAAGGCACGGAGCTTCCATGTCCCGGGGCTCTTGGAATTCGAGTGAGAAATGTGTTTGGAGAAGAAGGGAGGAGTCTGATACTTACTTGTGGCCCAGCTCATGCGCGATGGTAAAGGCCAAATTGAGACCATTGTCTTCAGCAAGCACACATTTCCTCTTAGCACTGCACACGCCTCCTAAGTAAGCAATTCCTGCAGCAGAGACACAAAACACATCCTCTTCAGAACGGGAGGCCCTGACCTCCAGGAAAGCGCACACAGTCAGAATCACGCACCACCTTGGAAAAGAGCAAATGGGGACACTGCTGCCTGCCAGGCTGGACCTGTAAGCCCAGAGCGCCCCTGAGACCGGCTTGTGCGGGATGCATTTGTATGCATCCAATAATGACGGCAGTGACCACAAACATCTAGCAAGCCCTTGACGTGGGTCAGGTAGAGTGCTGAGTGGCTTATCAAAGCATCTAATTCCATTCTCATTGCTGAGAACAGAGGCAACCCAAATCAGGTTCAGAAAGAGTTTCCCAGAGTCACCTGGCTTGGCATTCAGGGCTTAGAGCGAGAGACCTGAAAAGCAGCAAGCTAAGCCGTATTGGAATTTGAGGAGGATGTCCTTCACTTAGACGTCATTGTCTCCCCCTACTTCTGACCCTCAGGGACAAAGTCAGCACAGGGCAGGGGTAGGAGCAAAAGGCTGAGCGCAGAGGGCAGGAGATCCGATGGACATCAGTAAGCCAATTGCTGAAGAAGGGCCAGGGGTTTCCCTGGAGGAAGGCTCACTGGTGAGGACCGCACGTGTACAGCATAGACAGACAGCAAGGTTTCAGTGCTCCGTCACAGGGCAGGGAGAGGAAGCCCCACTTCCGCCTGCTGGCTCCAGGTCTCCTGCCCTCCATAGCAGCTCTCCACACTTCTTCTCACTCTGTTCCCAGGACGTCTGTCCTGTACACCCGAGCACCCCAGGGCTTACGGCAGCGAGGTATCTGTCCTCCCCTATTGTTGGCTGTCCTCCCCTGGGCAGGTCGCCCTTCACAGAGACCTGGGCAGACTAGAGGAGGGGGCTAGCTGGTCTCCTTGTGAGGTCACATGAGAGCAGTGCAGCCAGATACGTGAAGGAGGAACACAGCTGTTCATTATCTTCTGACTCAGCATCGTTTGAGGGAGAAATGCCTGTTCACTACCGCCCATGGGTACCAGCCCACCTGCTAAGTTCCATCCTGCCGGCGCTCATTAATTTTCCTGAAATGTCACAGGACGAGGGAGGAAGATCTAGGGGAATTATCTCATCAAAAATGACCTCCCCTCCCCACTTAGAAATAAACTCATCTCCTTAGCAAGAAGCCAGCTTTGGTGTCAGTCACTGCACTTCTTGTGTCTTTTGCTATTCATGGCCACACTTATCCTCCCGCTTCAGAGCAAGAGGGGGAAATGCCTGGGGCACCATGCAAGAGAAAAGTGGGGGTTTGGGTACAGCTTAGAGATGAAGTGCTTACTGAGGGACTGGATTTGGTCTTCAGCACCACAGAGAAAAAACGTTATCAAGCCGGCACAAAGTTCAGGCGCACACAGGGCATTCCTACTTTCTGAGGTACTGAGGGACCTCACGTGCAGGCTTTGCAGAGAGATGTGGTTCTGGGGTGGGTGACACATCCCACATTCCACATGATGAGTGGCTGTGCTGTACCACATGCCTATTTTTCTCTAGAACAAATGCTAGGCCAACGTTGCAGAATTTAAAAGCAGCAGTAGCAGCAGCAGCAGCAAAGAAATCAGTTAAACGCTATTTTGACCTCAAAATGCATTTTATACATGTGGATTTAACAAACCAGCAACACAGACAATGGGTTGAAAGAAAACAATATCCAGAAAGGATGCAATCTGGCCGCCTGTTGCCTTCAAGTTCTGTTATGTTTTAAAATGCTTTGTGGGTTGCTGCTGGCAGGGTTGCTTACTGGTAAGTAGATGGTATGCTGCTACACAACCCTGATAGTGTATGCATGTAAAACACACACACACACACATACACACACACACACACACACACATACACACACACTGCAGTGTGTAACACAGGTCACAGCCATTCTGGGTCAATGAATCAATTACAGGCAATCAGAAGCATACATTCTAAGGCAGTCACATGGTGAGAGAGAAGAGAGGCATAACATGTCCAGATGTGCTGAGCTTGCTGTCCTGAGCATGCCTGCTGTGGGCTCTGCTGCTGAACCAGCAGACCTTAAATGCCACACAAATACTTTCCTGGGTCCCGGCAGCCCTCTGAGCTGGCAGAATGGACTTCCCACTGTAAAAGAGCCTTCCAATAATTGCATTTTAATTTTTCCAAGGTACAAATGTTTGGATTTTAAAAACACCTAGAAAACAAAGGACCAGTTTATTTATAAGAATTCTCTTGCACAAGGGTGGATTAAGGGCTGTTGCTTTTAATGATTGATCACAATCATTACTAGTCTGGTGATAAAACCCAGCAAAAGGAAACATATAAAAGAAAATAGACCTTGATCACAAAACACGAGAGCTGTGTGAGGTTATGAGCGAGGGCGTCAAATGCTTAGGATGTGAAACAAAGACTGGAGACAATCCCAGGTTGCCGTCAATGTGAGATCTGCTGGGTAAATAAATGGTGATTAAACCATGGAGCTTCTGTGGAAAACAGGCCACCAGAATTCAATGCTTCATGAAAAGAAACAACTATTTAGGGCAGGGGCCCTGGAGATCAGGGAGACTCTAGTATAGTCTGCACCTAAGGGTTCCCGACTGCCCAGGAGCTGAGGTCACTGTTGTATTATTGGGAGGTAATGGGGAGGTGGGCTTGGTAGGAAGCCTTTAGGTCTTCGGGGACAAACTCCTGCAGGGGATTGTAGGGCTCAGTCCCTTTCTCCTTTTTTGCTCCCTGGCTCTGTGGTGAGTCCTTTCCCTCACTTTGCAGGGCCAACCATTGCACTCAGTACTAGCACAGGAGGGCTAAAAGCAAAGGCTCTGACAGACATCAACATGAACCTCTACAGCCACGGCCAAGACAAACCTCTGCCCCTCGCAAGATGCTTCTCTTGGGGACTCATGCCAGCAGTGGGAGGCTAACCAACACAAACCCTGATCACCTCAAACCCCAAAAAGCACCAAACAGGAAAAGGCCACCAAAGTCCATATTGGTCCTTGTCAGAAAATATGGAAAACTAGTTCTGTCTGTATCGGTTTACTTAAAAACCAAAAAGACTGCAGCATCTGCTCTGCTAACTTCATGCATGCAGGGGCCCTCTAACTGCAGTTCCTGCCAGCAATGTTTCTTATACCCCACTGTGGTGCTTCTAGTGGCTTCAAAGCTCCCATTGATTTCAAATTCTCCACAAAAGAAATCATGGTAGGACTCATTTTAAAACATCAGCCCTGCATGTTTGTGTGTGTGTGTAGTTCCTTGGAACCAAAAGGAAGCAGAAAGGCAGCCGTGGTTCATTAGCAGTCACCCTCAAGGCACAAAGCTGCCTGACGCACCCCTATTGAGGAAGACATTTGTTTCTTGAATGGGGAAATGGAGGCTCAGTAGTCAGATGCAAAGTCACTCAGTGCTTGTGTTAGTCAGTCTCTCCTCACTGTGACAGACCCCCAAGAGACACACCTCAAGGAGGAAAGTCTAGCTGGACCTGTTAAGGCTCGCAGTCTGAGAGAATTCAGTCTTTGGCTGGCTAGTTCTTCATACGGGAGACTGTGCAGATAGGCAAGGTGGGGGGGAGGGGCTGCTCGCTTCACAGAAGCCAGGAAGCACAGCAAAGACAGGAAGGGGTCCAGGCAGAATGCCCCCGTTCAAAGTTGTACTCCCAGTGACCTACCTCCTCCACTAGAGTACCTTCCAAAGTTCCACCACCCCTCAGCAGTTTTGGATCTAGTAATGGGTAAGCCATTGGTTAGGCCAAAGCCACTGTGGTCTAGACCTCTCTGGACATGCCCTCATAGACTCACTCAGAGATGGGATTGGCTAATTGCCTTGCCTTGTCTCCCTCGAATGAAGTTAATAATCAAGATTGACTATCAATGTTGGAGCATGCTAGAAACGAGGGTGCTCTCCCTCTAACACCTCGACCGACAGCTGGCACTTACCCCAAAGCTTGCCTAATGGACAACAAAGAATAAGCTTGGGAGGAGAATATTTTCATAAACGTGTGCTTCCATAAAGAGGTATGCGGAATAGAGCAAAGGTTTCTCCTGTTTAAGGCCAAATTTTCTTAATCCTAAAGATAAGAAGACTCAAGAGATACTGTAGTGACCAGTCCCCCATTTTAGCAGCCATTACAGGCTAACATGTGCTTGCATGACCTTGCCATTCCTGTCCTGGTCACTAAGGTCAGATGCCCTCTCGTGACAAGGAACCAATCAGAAGTTAGCTGGCAGGGCTGTGTTTTACAGCCCTGGATGTGCTTTACGGACAGTGCACAACAGTGATGTGCAGAGCATAGCAACTGCCCTGGGAGGGCCTATGGGCCATAACAACCAGTTGACCAATCAACACAGGGCGGGTCACCCAAACCTGGAAGTGCACCAATCCTGAGACTGTTTTGTACCCCTAGACACTCCCCTTAAGCTGCCCTTTAAGGTCCCTGCCTCAAGGTTACTTGGGGGCTTTCTCCAGACAGTCACCATGGTGGTGGGGTGAAAGGCCTGAGTTAATGGGGTTAGCTCATTAAACAACTACAATAAAAGACACTTTGCTTTTGCATGGAAATGGGCCTCTTGGTGATTTTGGGGTTCAGAATTTGGGCACAACAATACACACTCTAGTCTCAGTGGTAGTGGCCTCTGGGATATGGTAAAGGGATTAGAGATATTTGAAAAGCCTTTCCCTTTTCATCTTATCAGAAGCTACAGTGGGGTTATTGAGATGGACCAGGAGGTAAAAACGGTTGCGTCTAAGGCTAAAGACTTGATTTTGATCCCCATAACCTACATAGTGAGAAGAGAGGACCAACTCCCTCAGTTGTCTTCTGACCTCATCTCAGGTAGCATTGCATGCCCCGGCCCGCTATAAAATAAACAGAATGTAAATAGAAAAAGATAAAATAAAATTATACTGGATTTAAACTTCATACCATTAATGCATTGTATATGCCATTTATTCTAATGACATAGCAGAGGCAGAGACAGGAGACAAAAACAAAAACAAGGCCCCAGGGGATTGCTGCCCT